GCCACCCCCCCGACTCCACTTTCAGCCACTCACCAACCCCTCCTCCCCCAGCCCTCTATAGCTCACCAAAACTCCTTAGGTGGCCCTTCAGCTCAAATACTTGCCCACCCTTATTACAGAGGATCAGAATTCAGATTCCAACTTGGTCATTCCTTTTCTTGTAAGAAGCAGCACCTTCCTTTATAAAGGAAGTCCTGTGGCTTTGATATGTGGTTAGCAGCCACATTTGACTATTTTCAGTCAACAGGTTTATTCCTAGACAGAAAGTGGATTGTGTATTGGAAAGAACAGAGCACTTCTCTGCAGCCATGCCAAAAATGCACTGCCACGCTGATAGGCCAGTGTAAATGGAAAGAAATTATGCCTTAACAATGACAAGGGATAGAAACAAATGCTGGAGACCATGTTCAAGGTAACAGTTTCCAAATGCCTGTAAGGTTTGCATTCAGGTGTGATAGGTGAGCAAATAAAAAATCTTTTACTGCCTAAGATTTCAGACCTCTTAAGACAGCTGACAATCTGTATGTTGAATATGAAAGGACACACATATGATACCTTTGATCTGAAAAGTTTCGCATTGATGTCAGTGAATGTTGATATACTCTGGGCAGTATATGGTCTTTATGAGTGCCAGGCTCTCTACTGTTACATTTTATTTTGAAAAGTAGGCTATTGGATCTTATTACACTATGCAGATGCCATTGTGATAATAGGTAAGCTCTATGCACTTATCTGTCTCACTGTCCTGAATGGTATGTTTGAATGCTCAACATTTCCAGATATTCCAGTTAAAAGCATCCTGTTAGCTGCAAAGATTCCCCATATGTACTACTTGGACAGCAAACATTATCAGTTATTCTCTGGTAGAAATTTGGTGACCTTGTATTTACTAAATGTAAATACAAGGCACAACATTTGAGACCAGACTGCATAAATCTTAAAAGACAAATGTGAACAGAGAATGCCTTTATACAGACTTACATTCATTTAAAAATGTGGAACTAGCAAACATTCAAAAGTATGTTTATACTTAATGATCAGGAGAGAAGATATGAGGGAAAGCTTTACCTACTTTCTGATAGGCTGGGAAATTTGTCTGACATGGCTAACATTGTTACTTCTCATCTGATCATGATGACAGATGTCCATTAATTACACTGCATAATAATTTGAGCTGCATGAACACTGTAGTGCCTGAATTTGGAGCAGGTGCTGTAATTGATATACTACATCTACCAACTCAGATCACAGGCTATCAGATAGAAGTGATTAGCTTGTTTAGTAATAGCCCTTGCAATCAGTTGAAAGCTTATATTCCTCTGGTATACCTCTGCTAAAACCACGTCCACCTAACAGTCTCCTTTTCATTAACAGGAATGTGTCTCTTGCTGCGAAGGGATGATCTGCAATGTAGAAATACCAACCAATCACACAAATGCAGTGTTTGCAGTAATGCATGCATGGAGGATGTCGCATGGCAGCAGGAGGACAGTTAATGTTCCATTGCTTGCATCAGTCCTAGCAGTTGTGTTGCTTTGATGCAGTTTTCCTTGTGGTTCTAAGGGCTAAATTTTCTGTGCACTAATGTAAACCAGTAAGAAGAACATTTTGGTTTGAAAAAAAAAAATCACTGGCACCCTTCATTTCATAACCATGTAGGACAACATGAGAAGTTGCATGAACTTCATGACATCTGCCAGTTCTTCAGTGAAAAGATTTGCAAACAGTTTGCAGTATTTAAAACAAAACCAAAACAGACACTACAGTGGACTCAACCAATTATCAGAATTCTTCATTTAGTGGTAAAAGCATGTGCGTGCTGCACATTTCTTGCACAAAGAAAATAAATATCTGTTGGCAGTCACTCTACCAGGTGAAACAAAGGAAACTTCTAGATGGCAAAGTTAAGTTGGAGCTGTGCCAAGCTAGTCTTAATAGGGTTTTTGTTATTTTTCAGAACTGACTTGTAGCACTGGGTCTGGTAGCTGACTTTTCATCAGCAAATGTGTTGTTAAATTCATGTTTAATTGCAGTGCTCTTAGAAATAACAGTACATATTCCAAGAAAGCGTCTGAAAAAGCACATTTCCATTTTGGTCATAATTCTCATGCCAACTGAAAATTATGCAAAATAAAACTTTAACTGTATTTGTCTCTCATGTCTATGCCATTGCTGCACATCCTAAAACTATAAAATGAAGTGACTCCATGTGCAAGTCAAAATTCTGATTAAAGATTATAAATTACTTCAGTCCCTAATGTCATATTTAGGGATGTACCAGAAAGTGGCCTCATTTTTGCAAGACTGTTGTCTCTCATTGTCTTTGGCATTTCTGAGTGCTGAGTACTTTCACTTATCTAGTCACCTGTGTATAGGACCATAACGTCAGGTACCCAGTTGAAAAGTTTGACCAAGAATTCTAAAACTAACGTACCAGTCTTACTATTTTCTTTCATAGCTATAGTAGAAGTTTTAAATTTATGTCCCTATTTTGAACATCTGCAAATATTGGAAGTGATAAAATTTAAGTTACTATTGGATGTTACAGAATTTGTGATGAATATTGTATTTATTACACATCTGAATTTTCATCCTTCTGGTTCCAATGATGAATGTGTTCAGATTTACCATCTCTCTGGCCTGAAGAAGTCAATCCTGAAAACAGAGAGATTGACTATATGTTAGATTCAGTCATGTGTATGTTATGTGCCAGTGTAATCCATTGTGCACTAGCCCTTTTGTAAGTGTAAACTCAAGGGACAGGTACAGACATTACACTTTTACCGTTAGAAGTGATTAGAAACCAGTCTATACTTGTAACAGAGCAGAGGTTCAGCACACAAAACCAGGCTATACCAATGACAGAACAGAAATTTGGTACATGTAGACTGGTTCAAAAATGGCGAAACCCAGTCTAAGGTTTGCCCACTCCCAACCGAAGGCCAAAATATGTTCTGTTTGCTGTCAATCTAAACTTTGCCACTTACAGAAAACCGTGTAACGGATCAATCCCACCTTGGGCTTTTTGAATATATGTACCTAGCTGAGGCTTTTCTGCATCCTGTCCTGATTGTGGATATGAAGTTAAAAGCATTCCTCCTTGCCTAGTTACATCATCTCTTCCTTCACTTACTGGATCTGTCATCCCCTCTGCGTTGTAGTGCGACTTGAATCTGACCCATAACCTTTGGGCAGAGAAATTGTATTGCATTCAAGACTATTTTGGGTATTTTATTTATTCATGTAACCTTTACAGATTTAGTTACTTTTGATTTTATGTTGTCTATGTTATTCTTCATAAATCAGTAGGGTTAGCTGAATAATGAGAAGAAAACATTGAACGTTTTGTCCCAATATTTAATGAGAGGTTTTAATTGATATTTCAAAATACATCAGAAAAATCTTGTCAATTGAATTGGAAAACATTCAGTCAATTGAATTGGAAAACATTCAGTAGATTCAGTAGATTAAGTGATACGTAGTTGTTGCTTGTAAATCCTTTTCTCGTTCTTGTAAAGTGGCTTGCTGTATTTAAAATGACAATTGGAAGCCCTCTGTGTTAACACTGCCAAAATTCATTATTTTTGGTAACTGCATTAACAGATATCTAAAGATGTTCATGGAATATGTACATTTGTGATGTGACATTGTATGATGAGGAGGCACTTTAAAACTATAGGGTTTCAAGGTTATAGATGGAAATGCCAACCAGTCCCTCCCGTGTCAGTGTCCGTGTGTGCCCTGCCACCTGAGTGTAAATGTTGCAGGCAATGGGCCTTTGCGCACTTCTTTTTGGGGGGCAGTCCAACAAGCTATTAAGAGGATTTTAAGGGAAATGTTCTTTTCCTCAAAGGTCATGCCTAGGTAACACAGCTGCAGCTTAATTATTATTTTATTGGTCTCACAAGTGGTGGCAGCTGTAGTTAAGACTGCTGAACACTTTGTTTTATTGGCCTCCTGTTTTCACATGCTGTTTTCTTTTGGGCTGACATCTTCCAGGCTTGGTTTCTGCCCAAAGGTGAATTCCTTAGGAAAGTTTAAGCAAATGTATTCAACTATTTTCCCAATTATTGGAGAGTGTGAAGAAATCCTTTCGTTACTTCTGACTCCTGCCCCTAGCCAGCCCTCCAGGCCCTTGGTGCCCTCTCAAATTTTGGTCCTTGGAGTTATTTTTGCAGTTGAAAATGATAAAAGATCTTAACATGGCTTACAGCTTTAGGTGAGTTTACTGTATACAGTTTTAAAAGATCTAAAGGCTCAGAGTTGTTTATACAGTAAACAACACTCCAAAGCATGCAGTCCTGGAGAACAGTAGAGGCTTGAAATGCTGGCTGCAATGGTAGGACTGCAGTTCTGCCAGGAATGGACCTTTTAAGGTTTTTGGCAGTTCTAAAACAAACAAAAAAACTGTGCTGAGGTTGAATCAAAACCATTCCCCCCCTCCCCCCATTAAGGAGCGGAGGGACAAAAAAATCAGTTCCAACAAATGGTTTTGTTTAATTTTGAGCATTTTAAAGAGTAAATTTGAAGAAAAATTCACATAATTTTGAATTGAAAAACGAAAATACCCCATTTTGACAGTGCTGAAATGTTTCAGCTTTTGGGGAACTTTGGTTGATGTTTGGCATTTTGTTTGGTGTGGGGGGTTTTATTTATTTTTTAGTATAAACAGCTCAATGAAGCCAACCTAGATTTATACATTTTAGTGTTTCCAAAGCTGTATCCCCCCCGCACCCCCCCCCGAAAGGATTTTGTCCAAAAAAATGTTATCTAGAATTAGTTAGAACATTCTTTTTGTGTTCTAAGGCTTTTCTGAACTGGGTAAGATTATATGTTGTACAGACACAGAGGAGGAACATGACTGCGGGAGTCACTTTTCTGTGGCTGACTAGCGCAGGATACTGAAGATGTTGATAGGCTACAGATGGTCTTGGTTTATTGGTGCATAGTATGTGTAGACCTGTGGGCGGTTTTGTTTTTTCTATTTTTTACTTTTTAAACACTCAAGAAAAGTAAATGCAAAAAGCCTGTCAAGGCACCATGAAGGTCCCCTAACTCAGTCAGGAAAGGTGAAAGTTCAGTTTGACTGAACAGTCTTATGCAGCTGCTTTGCACACAGGTAAAAGTAAAACCTTTGTATTTGTGATCACATTTTATTTTGGGTACATTTGCAGTAGGGAAGCTTCTAGATAAATATTCTATGCTAGGGCTAGAGAAATAGTGAGACTACATATATTATGCAAGGTCCATATTAAACCTTAATTTTCCCATGTTTTGATTTCGGAGGGATTTCATCTGCATTCATAATGATATAGTTCAGGGTGCACAACTCAAACTTTACTGAGGGTCACTTGCAAGGTATGCTATCCAGTGAAGCCACTAAAGGGAGCAGAGGCTACTTTGGTGGGCAGAGCTGGGGTTGTGGGGGCATAGGGTTATGCTGAGCTCAGGAGAATAGGGGTTGGGATAGTCTTACTGGTCCTAGTGATCCCAGCCATGTAGGTGTACTTGGTAGGGATCTAGACTCTCCTTGTCACTCCCTAAGAGTTACGGAATTAAACTACCAGAATCAGACTTTGAAAGCCGTGATTTGATGATGGCTGGCTAACCCAGCAGCGGCAGCATCTCCCATGAGGAAAGGGGAGTGACATTGAGGAGCAGTAGCCTGCCCCAGCTTCATGTGTCCACAGCCTCCTGCCACCGTTCCAGCAGTCTGGGCCCCCTTGCTCAGTGCCCAGGGCTAGTACCCCCTTTGCCTACCCCTGGTGGAAATGCAAGCCCTCAACACCTTTGCAAATGGGAAATGGACTGCACATGAAGGTGTCGGCACAGATTAATGAATCACTGTGCACTTAGGGCACAGCTTGCTGTGACAGAATGTCATTTGATGCTGTTTCGCTTTTCTAGTCCTATTTTGTTTTTTATGGTCAAGGAAGAGTGATGAATAAGTGGTTTAATAAAACACCATGGTGGGTCCTTGGGATTGTCCTTATGGGCACCATGTTTTGCGCACTTGAGTGTATCTATTTTTGTATTTAATGGATAGGTTAAAATATGGGCTAAGTACTACCCTTTATCCATGTGTAACTCCCATTGACCTCTTTGGGAGCATGTGGGGAGATTATTTGTTTCTAGAACCATGATTTTCAGCAACTAAACATTTTGGGCATTTTAACTCTTACGAGTATGCTCCTACTGCACACGTGTTTACAGCTTACAAGTATCCATGACTATTTAAGTGCTTTTGTAGTCAGCCAGATGTGCTAATTTAGGGTTGTGTGCATGCACACTCATGTTATGTGCAAAGCAGAAATGGAAATATCTCTACTTAACCTTTGGTACTCAACATTACTATATTATCATTCAGTATACAGGCAGGTGTTATCTTTGAATGCAACATGCACTCAAAACTAACAGGAGCTGTACTCAAGCACATCCAAAGACAGAAGGATCCCTGTGATTTGTGCTTTGAATTAAAATGAAATATATCATGTGAAAATCAATCTTTGTGTAACTCCTTGGAGGGTTGAAGTTGGCCCAGGATGGCTACAGAAACAAACATATCACAATTGCAATTTGGCTACTCAAGGATAACAAAAAGGACCAGGATGTGATATGGCTCTTCTGTTTGAAGTAACTGCAACTCAACCAGATTGTGCAGCTGACAAACAATAAGCAGCTTTGCATGTTTTGTATTGCACTGGGGACAGCCTGGAGCAGATTGATTGATTGTTTTTCAAAGTTTTAATGTATTTGTAAGGAAAAGCCTCCACTGTTTGGTGTTTGTGTCTGTCTGAATGTTCTTTGCCTTTCTAGTGCTGTTTGAAAGCACGGCACTTAATTAAAGGTATTAAAATATTTGGGATGGAAAATATGAATGTATTAAAAGAGTCAAGAAGAGAGAAATGAACGTCATTATTTAGAAAGAAACACTGTAGGACTGATTCCTAGCACTTTTATTCCACAAGAAGTCATTGCAATGTCTCCCTTTGCAAGGGATCCCTTGTGAATGTAAGAGTAACTCTGGTGATTGGGAGATTCTCAGAAATGTCCGAACCATTTAGCTGAACCTTTCCAGGAAAGTGAAGTGTGACATAGGTTCCTGGCCCAGAAAAGTTCAAACTCAAGTTGGTAATGTTATAAGCAGCTGAAAATTCTGTGTTCAGTGGCGAGTATTAGGCGTTCTTAACTAAGCATTGCAACCAGGACCACCTATAATGAAAGAAAAAACATATGTTTTGACTGAAGCCCGTTCATTTGGGTAACGTGAGCTGGGTAGTTCCTCTAATAAAGTGAGCACCCGTAGCCGACACAGATTGCAGTACCTGTTTTAGAACTTGACCCAGAGCAAGTTGTTCCAAAAGGGAAAACGTTTTCTAAATGAAATAGAAATAAGGTCATGACCGTTTCTTTCCAGGAGGCAGAACAGATGCTTTATGAGGTGTGCCTGCCTCACTCCCTCAGTACCATTAAAATGGGTGGTGAAATCCTGGTCCTGATGAAGTCAGTGACAGTATTGTTGTTGGGCTTAA